GTTGGTGCGCGCCCGGGATCTGAACCCCGGCCGCCAGCAGCGGAGCGCCCGTACTTAACTGCTAAGCTACGGGGCCGGCCCTAAAGTTTTTTTTTTTAAGGACAAAATCTGAGTCTTGATTACATTGATGTTTTATGCTACGACAATCTTTATCAAAATAGGGTGTAGTCAGTATAATTTGTATGCCGCTGCCCACAGACAACTGTAGTTTGTTAACGTCGACACCTCTTGGCTAGACTTCATAAAAGCAAGAACTGTGTGTGCCCTGTTAATTGCTCTTTCTCACCACTAGAATCTAAGCTTCCTGAAGAGGGGGACTTTTGTTTGTTTATAATTGCCAAGCGTATACCTGATTTTCTGTAACAGGCATGTTCCTGAGGATTTCTCTCAAAATCAAATAGTTGTATATTTGTTGTTCTAAATTATTAAAAGCATCCTGTTGTGAAAAGACATCCTTGTAAAAGATTGAATTTTCCTAAATTGATGCACCTATGTCTTCATCTAAAATGAACTTGCACTTCTGAATCATCTGCTACAGAACTTACACTGTAATATTGTCTTACTACGTAATAGGATTTGGAACTGTCAGTGAGCCTTGGAATTTTCAGTATTATTTCTGTTTTCAGAGATCCAGAGATTCCAGTTGAGAGCAAGTTGGCAGCCAGACCCTTGTTCTTTCCCTGTGAGGAGCAGCTCTTACCAACAGCAACATTGACAGAACCTGTGTTTTGGAAAAGGCCTGATGGCTTTGAGCCTAGGCTGGAGAGCATTTGCCCTGCTTCCCATGAACCACTTCGGTGTTTCTCTGAAGGCTGTGAGGAACAGTGGTCTTCCCTTGTTTCCCTGGGGCCACTGCCCCTGGAGAGGAACTGGAAGCTTTTTGGACCCTGAGATGAAAGCTTTCCTGGAGGAGAACACTGAAGTCACCAACAGGGGCAGCCTCACCCCCGAAATCCAGTTGCGGCTTTTGACCCCTAGATGCAAGTTCTGGTGGGAAAGAGCTGACCTATGGCCCCACAGCGACCCGTACTGGGCAATCTACTGGCCCGGAGGCCAAGCCCTGTCTAGGTACTGCCCCTGTTGAAATGGGAACCTTTAAGGCTGCTACAGATCCTTTCTCTTTTCAGCCCCTTCCAACTCTGCATTCTCCTTGCCCCTGACAAAAAACCAGAGCAAAACCCAAAATTCTTGTTTTCCTAATTTAGAGCAGATTAAGAATATTTTTTGGTGCTTTGTTGCATAGTTCTCCCTTCTACTCCAAGCTTATCAAGGTATTTCCCCAAATATAGTTCTCTCCCTAAGAGAGATGCTAGGGTCACCTGTCGAGACCCTAGATAGCTATAAGTGATCCAGAAATCTCACAGTATCCTCAGGTTCATGGTTCATAATGTATGGCCAGTGCAGTTCCTCAATGGAACCTAAAGCCCCAGTCCTTCAGTTCTCCTAGTTTAATCCTGTAAATGTTGCTCCTTAAGCCTCACACTTCCTCCGTCGTTGCCTCTCCATCTCCCAAAGAATAAGAGATATGAGTGATTGGGCTGCTCAAGGATTCCCTCTTCTCTAGTGGTTTGCTGACATCTCAGGTGAACTCTGGACCCGAACCTGCGTTGTTAAGGTCCCCCCTTCCAGCTCCCCATGCTGCAAAGGTCTTCTCTACTACATTTTCTCACACACTCACACTATGCTTTTATTAAAACACAGCTGCTGAAACAAAGCCAAGGACCTTCAGCATTTCATCTAGTCTTTGCTCTTGGCTTGGTAAATGATTTAATGTTTATGCTTTGAGGTTACAAAGCTGTGAAATGAGAAGGATGTGGATTTCTCTTTCACAGGAACGGTATGGCCTAACAGAATTAATGTTGTATATACAGTCATGCGTCACTTAACCACGGGGATATGTTCTGAGAAACGCAACATCGTCACTGTGTGAACATCACAGAGTGTACTTACACAAACCCAGATGGTATAGCCTACTACACACCTAGGCTATATGGTACTAATTTTATGGGACCACAGTTGTATATGCGGTCCATCGTTGACCGAAACGTCATTATGCTGCACATGACTATAGTTTTAAATGCAAAATAAATAAATGCAAACATAGAGCTTTTTGGAGAATCCCAAGGACTACAAAACTTTCCAGTTGGTATCAAACAATTCCAATTTTCTGGTTGTGTTGCCAAATTTTCAAGTTTTATTTACTTACATCATATTTTTAAAATACTGACATTTTAAGTGATGTCTATTAAAGTTATTGTTTATCAACTCCAAATATAAACACAGTCAAACTCCTTAAGAGACTGTCTGAATCAGAGGTCACAAACTGGTGACCCACAGATGTCTTTTGTTTGGCCTTTATTTGTAAACTTATAACAGATCAGTTGCTAACATTTAAAACTTGAGAGATTTCATCTAAAAATCTACTTTGATTTGAAAAACAGGAATCTCTGATAACACGGGATTTCTATGTGGCAAGAATTAGCTGAAGATGGCTAGCAACTGTCCCTTTAGACAGGGCATGTACACCCTTACTTTGCCTTAGTCCCTGCTATTCTTTATTACTCCAATACTAAGATCAAGTGTCAGTTGATTTATTATTTCAGTGTTTTCCTCTTCATCTTCACTTGTTTGGTTACTACTTAACCCGGGTCCAAATCTTTGGTTGAACTGGACTTTGATCATACCTTACCAGAGAGGTCATTATAATACAATTAAAGCAGTTGGTAAAACCAGTCTAATGGACAATCAAAAGGAGATGGTTAATTTGGGGTTAGCCTACTGAGTCCTGATTTTAGCAGTACTTTGTCAGTCTATATTCTTGGTGCTTGGTAGTTTCTGGATCATAGTAAGTGCTCAGTTGTGTGGAACTGCTCTTCACAACTGCTGAAGAGAAAGACCAAATGATCAGGGTCTCTCTCTGCCACTTCTGCCCAGCTCTTAAGATTAACATTTTGTCTCACGCTAGTCAGGACAGACTTGCCAAGGTTGGACCAAATTCTTCTGCTAAGTTCCACTATTTCTTTGTCCAGTCAACTCAAAGAAATTCTTTTTGGACATCTCTTACCGACCTTCTCCCATCTTTCTTAGATAATGTTTTTCGCTTTCTCTTTTTCTAACTTAGGTATTTTTTGGATAATCCTGATGTTGTCAGAGGAAAATCTGTGTTGGATCTTGGGAGTGGATGTGGAGCGACAGCTATTGCTGCAAAGATGAGTGGGGCATCAAGGGTCTTGGCCAACGACATAGACCCTAGTAAGGATTTCATATTGAAAAATATTCAAAGCTCATCTTCTTTTCTTCCAGGATAAATAACTACAAATGCCTCAATGTGATAGCTTATTTCCATGTGTATTTTGCAATCTGATATTGTGAATTTTGTTCAGTGGGACATTATCTGTGGGAATCATGTAGGCCTGAGTTGACGGTGCATTTTTCCCAAGAGGATTTGTATTTGTGTCTGTCAGATAGCCCAAAGTGATACCAACCTGGGAGCACTTACTGTTAATTTCTGAGCTAGGAATTTCCTGAAATATGTAGGTGGGTGTTTATTTGACCCAAAACCCAAGTGAGGATAGGCCTGTGTCTTTGAGGGAGATTTTGTTCCATTAGAACCCAAGTTGAGACAGGTAAGTTTTAATTTTATCTGGTTTTCTTCTAGTCTTCCCTTTCACTGAGGATCTAGCCCTTGAAGATTCTTATTTTATACAGGGGTCCCAGTTCTAACTTGCCAGCTTTCTCGCCCAAGGCTTGTTTCCCTGTCTCCTGTATAGCCCTAACAAACCAAAACTCTTGGTTATTGAGATCAGCACATGTTCCTGAAAACCTCAACATTTGCAGGTGTTTTGTATTGTTTGTTTTATTTTCAGGATATCCATTCATATATTTGAAAATTGCAGCTTCCTTACCTAAAAAAACAACTTTCAGCAAAAAGGGAAAAAAATATTGTTATGAGATTTTCTAAATTACTTAAATTAATCAATAGGGAATTAAACAGCCTAGCATATCTCAATTCATTATGTGCTTTTTTAAAGTTGCAGGAATGGCTATCACACTAAATTGTGAATTGAACCAACTGAATCCTTTTCCCATTTTAACCAAAAACATTTTGGATTTGGAACAAGATAAGTGGGACCTTGTCATGCTTGGAGATATGTTTTATGATGAAGACCTTGCAGATAGTCTTCATCAATGGCTGAAGAACTGCTTTTGGACCCACGGAACTCGAGTATTGATTGGTGACCCTGGGCGACCCCAGTTCAGTGGACACAGCATTCAGCATCACCTGCACAAAGTGGTAGAATATTCACTTCCAGAGCCCACTAGGCAGGAAAACAACGGACTGACAACAAGCACAGTGTGGGATTTTCAGCCTTGAGTTGTCAAAGTGCTTCCAAGGATGGATATGGCAATGTTGGGGTTTAACCCTAAAAGATTCTCCAGTTTAAAGAATGCAATTCCTGTTAAATAGCAGATCTTGTTTCCAAAATATGAAGGTTTAAAGTTTTGTCAGCCTTTGTCGTGTAACTAGTTCTGCATTATGCCAAATCTCTATTTGTAATTTTTTTTTCCTCATTTTACTGCTATAGGAATATAATTATAGAAGGCAATGCCCAATGGTAGCAACAGGTAATTTAAGCAGCGGAGAGGAATTAGACATTGTAGCAAGAGTCTGTTTCTGTAGTTGAGGACAACTATATGATGTATCTAAGTACAAAATATTGGAGAATACTATATATATATATTTTGTGTGTGTGAGGAAGATTAGCCCTGAGCTAACATCCGATGCCAATCCCCCTCTTTTAGCTAAGGAAGATTGGCCCTGGGCTAACATCTGTGCCCATCTTCCTCTGCTTTATATGGGATGCCGCCTCAGCATGGCTTGACAAGCAGTGTATCAGTCCGTGCCCGGGATCCAAACCTGCGAACCCTGGGCTGCTGAAGCAGAGTGTGCGAACTTAACCACTATGCCACTGGGCCGGTCCCTGAAGAATACTGGTATTTTAAAAAAATTATCTGTAAAGATCAAAGATGCAGTTAGTATGGTACAGAGTACATGGGCTTTGGAATCAGGTAACTCTTGTCACTTTCTAGTTGGGATTTTGGCCTAGTTATGCTCTCTGAGCTTTAATTTCTTCATCTATTAAATAGTAACAAAAATTTATAAACCTCACCTCAAATGGCTATTGTATTAAATGGAAGTATAAAGTGCCTAATATAGTATTTAGTACATTATAGGGCCTCAATTGACAACCATGGATAAAAATAAAGATTTTAGAATTTCCTTCATACTCTGTACTGTGACACCTTATGGTCCCTCTTTATGCCTCACTAAGGTTAGCTAGAAATTGGTTTTGCCACCACTACATGCCTCAGCGTGTCAGGATCTTATATATCAATAAAAACACCATGACATAAATGAGAAACAATGTGAATAAGAATGTCTATAGCATATTACTATTTATATAAAAAAGATGTATGCATATACCTACATATGTATGTATGTGTATAAAATACATACTTGCTTGCAGTATACATAGAATATCACTAAAATAAGACACTGGTAACAGTGGTTGCCTTCTGAGAGGGTACCAGATAGCTGGAGGACTGGGATGGGAGGGAGACGTCCTTTTTACCTTTGGGTCTTGTAATTTTGTACTAATTATATGTACTGTATTTCCTATTCTCTAATTTAAAACTAAACACTACCACTATATAGGTTACAAGTGAAGTATAAAATGTAGCCTTTCCAATGTACTCTCATGTTCTTATATACTGCTTAGGAATTGTTTATGACACTTACATTATCTGCTTTCTAATAATACACACATGCCAGTGGGATTAGGACACCAGGGAGACATGATCAGAGTTACAGTCATACAGCAGAAATGTGGAGAAAGCAATTAAGGGTAAGTTGTTGCTTAGATAGGAAAACAGGATAATTAGATGGGAGTTTTGGAGCTGGGGTCGCAGAGGATCTTGAAATGTGTTTACTTGTGATTCTTGAACTTTGGAAGTCAGAGTTTATTACAGCCCAGTCAGTCAACTCTTGCTGCATCCAATTTCCATTGGTCTACTGGGGCTTAAAAATTATAAACTCAAAATTTTGATTCAGCCTTGGTTGAAATTAATAGAAATTACAGGCTACAGTGGCATTGGATGATATTTGAGAGGAAAGTTTTATTGACATATGCTTTGAAAATTCAGGGTATTCTGGTTATTGCTCTTCTCAGCAAGGTAAGAAAGAGAAAATTAAACTCTGGAGCACCATTAGAAATCAACTTGATGAGGCAAAGAGTAGATTTAATTTTAAATATCTACAACCCTGTTTCTGTTATCTTAATGATTTATGAAGAGGGCCCAAGAAGGTCTTTGAGGTATCCAAATATTACTTAAAATATTTTTGAGTCTCTCATGTATATAACAGTGAGACTTGAAGTGACTTCATAGCTTAACAGGTTTGTATTAAAACCATTCACATCTCAAGTGGTTATTCATACAGTTGGATTAATTCCTACCATATTTTTAATTTTCCTATCCATTGCCCCTGTTCTTTTTTTTGTGTTCTACTCTTTTTTTCTGCCTTCTCTGGTTTTAATTGAGCATTTTATGTGATTCCATTTTCTCTCCTGCCTTACGATACCAATTATACTTACTTAAAAATTTTTTTTAGTGGTTGCCCTAGAGTTTGTAGTATACATTTACAACTAATCCAAGTCCACTTTCAAATAATACTGTACTGCTTCATGATTTTCAGTTTGTTCAGCTTTTATCTTATTGTGAGGATGGGAGTGATGACTTCTAATCTCTCTACATGTCAGACTGGAAGCTAGAAGTATGTGTTACTGTTATTTATTTCTTTTCTCCTTTATTTATTTTCTTGCCCATTCATTCAACAAATATTTGGATGCTTATTATGTACCAGACACTGTTTTCTAGGCACTGGGGATACAACAGTTAAAAAACAAGACAAAAATTTCTGTCTTCATGAAGCTTATATTCTGGGGTGAAGAGACATAATAAATAAAACAGATGTCAGATGGTGATAGGTGGTAAGGAGAAAAAGAGAGGTCAGGGAGATAGGGATAGGTGGGGTAGGGAATGAGGTACAGAGATTTTAAACAGGGTGGTAAGAAATAGCTAATACAACCAGCAACAGAAAAAAAAGCAAGATCAAACTGCAAACTGCTTTAGGAAGATAAATCCTTCACAAACCCTAAAAAGCTGACATTTTAGATCTTGAAACTATATTCCCAAAAAGGGGAAAAAGCTATTGACTTAGATGTTCAATATTAAATTTTACTGAATTTGCCTTCAGAAAAATGTCATAGATGGAACTATGGCCTTACCCATTTTACATGTAGATACCTATGTGCCACTTTTGCAGTGGCAATATATATATAGCCACACTATAAACATACCACATTTATAAAGTAATTAATAGTGAGGACGAGAAATAGAGTTGAATATGTAAACCCTCCCTGTAAACAGGTACAAGAAACTTACCATACCTTACTCTCCTAGCTTTTTGCTACATCAGAGTTAAAATAGGAAATCTTGACAAAGTCCCACTGGGACAGGCTCATGGCACAGGGAATATGCTGAATTTAGGGTCAGTTTAAGCACAGTATACTTCAGGGAATTTTTTGATTATAGAAAAGTAATACATTTCATTTGAAAACTAAGACCTGTGCTGTTTATTTCACAATGTGAAAACCAATAGAGCTTCTGGATACAACCTCTGTAATGATATTTTGTATTTACTAATTCTTACACATTCCTGAATGCAGTTTTTAAGGAAGGAAGTTCATAGACGTATTTGGGAAAAGTAGCCATAAAAATCAATGAAGTAATGGCTGGGCAAGGGGCTCAGTAACGTTCATATGCTGAATGGCTAAGGTGTATTATGTCATGGATTATGACATTAAACTATTATATTTCTCTGTTTCATTGAAATATTAAATTCTGTGAAGAATTTATAGGCCTGATGTTCAGCTTTGCTTTTGGCCAATGTGTGAACAGGGAACCAGGCAAAGAAAAGGTTACTGAGGATCTGCTCAATAACTAACATGGTCTGTCCAATGTTTTTCAGACAGGAAGAAACTATGCGTTCTGTTTTGCAGAAATTGATGTTCCCATTTTTGCAGATGTTGCTATCTTGCAGATAAACTTACATGTTTGCAGCAAGACCCCTGCAAATGTTCCAGCTCTAAGTGTCCTAAAGTTACCTTAAATTCATTAGCATCTTAAATTCTCCTCCTCTGGGAGGGTCTAAGCAGCCATTTTCAGATCATGTATGTAGTAGCATGTTTACCTGCTATGCATGCGCCCTGAATGAGCATAGTTGTTACACAGTTGTTATAAATAAACCTGTTATCTTCTGCTGTCTTGTGTATAAAGTTTCCACCAGCACTGAGCTCAGGGAGACACTGCTTTGGGGAGATATCCCCGGTGGTCTCCATTGCTTGTGCAAGCAAAAAACCTTTTCTTCACCTACTTCTGCCTTGGTTGTGCTTTTCCACTTTGCACCCACCAAGAGACAAACCCATTGAGTTCGGTTACAAATGGGCATTTAAATACTTCAGGTAGGTAGGAGCCAGAAAATAGCTAGGAAGGTAATTATGCTTTTAGAAATAACTTTACTTAGAATTTTCCTAATGTTTATCCATATTGGTAAATTTATAACAGCTCAAATATCTAGGTAGGAGAAGGGAATCTACAGGGAAGACAGGTAATTTGAAATTTTGTTATTTACGCAACAAACACAACACCTCACTCCCACTCCAAATACATCAGAGGGCATGCTACGATTACCATTTCAAAAACAATGACTCATTAAACAAACACAGAACAACAGCACTATTAAAATGTTTAAGGGTCTGGTTAACTTCAAAGCACAAACCATATTATTGGAAAGCCAATCTCTAAGACCATTGTTTCCTGGGACAGTAGTATGACGATCACAGCTTTGACAAGCTTCAATAAGCATCAATAAACAGTCCATGTCACTTGCTTTAGCTTGTTTGGGCCTACTAATTGCTCCAAGACTTCTCGTGAATGATCTATAAAAGAAAACAATGACAATACATTAATTCACAGTAATCAATGATATTTCATGTGTCCTAATGTATAAACTGGGGATGATGATAACTATTATATCTCATAGAGTTATTTAAAGGATTAAATGAGACGATAGATAAAGAATAGTATATGGGTCGGCCAAGTGGCATAGTGGTTAAGTTCGAGTGTTCAGCTTCAGTGGCCCAGGGTTTACCAATTTGGATCCTGGGCACGGATCTACTCACCACTCATCAAGCCATGCTGAGGGGGCATTCTGCATAGAAGAGCTACATCTCTACAACTATGATATACAACTATGTACTGGGGCTTTGGGGAGGAAAAAAAAAAAAGGAAGATTGGCAACAGATGTTAGCGTACAGCCAATCTTCCTCAAAAAAAAAAAAAGAATAGTATACAACTAAAAATACATTTAATTAATGGTAACCCTCACTATTATTAGCTGTAGTGCACAAATCATAGTAATACTTTTTAAAAGATAGGCATTTATTGTTTTCTCTATAATTTCACCAACCACAGAGTAACAGTGTAATTTCACCATTAACCTGTGTATAATGTTTCCCAGGGTCCCGGCAGGAAATAGATGACGCACTGAAGTGAGGTGTTTCAACAGGGTTTAATGAAGCGACTATTTACAAAGGAGTGAGCAAGATTAAAGAAAGCTGACACATGTGGTAAAGCACCTTGGGAAGCTACAACATGCGCAAAAGGTTAGGGGAGGGAGCAGTTACTAGAACAGGACAACCTGAACCTGTAGTTGAACATCTTTCCACGTCATATAATACTATTATAAAGCATGACTTTTAATAGATAACTATTATATGATTTCATTACAATTTAACCAAGCTATATTATCTGACATCCAGATGGTTTTCAATTATTCAGTGTACAGTAGTAATTTTAATATGGTTTACAGCCCTTTTGCAAAGTCAGTTTTATAATGCCTTCGAAAATTATGAATTAAAGCAAAAATACTGCTAAAATTTTATTACCTAGAAAATTACTCAGAAGTTTAACAAACTTGTTCCATAGATACAACCTATGTTGTATGTACAATATATCTCTAATCTAGTCTTGGAAATTTTCTAGTTTAGTGGTTCTGAGACTTACAGATTTCATAGATCAGTAGGAAAAAAAAGTGGGTCCAAATATGGTTACTAAATTTTATTTTAAGCAAAACAAAAAAAAGCCAAAATACCCAAAGTTCAGTGCAAGAAAGAGAACCAGAGAGCATATGGAAACAAGAAGTTATTACAGTAGTGAAAATAAAGGTTTACATCAGCAAATTAAAAAAGAGCAGCTAGTAAGATAAATGCAGTTTTATTCATTGTAATAAAAATATCATCAGTTATTATAGAGGAAATCTATTACATGGGAAATCTAGATTAAAGACAGGTTTCAAATAGGTTGAAAGTAAAAGGATGGACAAAGATATATCATGCAAGCAGCAACTATAACAAAGTTGGAGTGCCTATATTAATAGAAAAAGGAGGAACACTTCCCAGCCCATTCTATGAGGTCAGTATTACCCTGACACCAAAGCCAGACAAAGACATCACACACACACAAAACACCCAACCAATATCTCTTATGAATATGTACTCAAAAATCGTCAATAAAACACTAGCAAATGAAATCTAACAAAAAGAATTATATGCCATGATCAACTGGGATTTATCCCAGGAATTCAAGGTTAGTTTAATATCTGAAAATCATTTAATGTAATACACTGTATTAGTTTCCTATTGCTGCTGAAATAAATTACTATGACCTTAATGGCTTAAAACAACACAAATTTATTATCATACAGTTCTTGAGTTCAGAATTCCAAAATGGGTCTCATGTGGCTAAAATCAGGCATTAGTAGGTCAGCATTCCTTTTTTGGAGGCTCTAGGGGAGAATCTACCTCCTTGACTTTTCCAGCTTCTAGAGACCACCACATTCCTTGTATTCCTCCACATTCAAAGTGAGCAACATTGGACAGAGTCCTTCTCATGCTGCCATCTTTCTGGTTCTCATTCTGCCTCCCTCTTCCACTTTTAAGGACCCTTGTGATTACGTTGGGCCCACCTGATAATCCAGGATAATCTCTCTATTTTAAGGTCAACAAACTCACAGGTTCTGGGCATTAGAACATGAACATCTTTGGGTAGGGCATTATTCTGCCTATGGCATACACGATATCAATAGAATATATAGGTCAAAAACCACATGATCATCTCAATAGATACAGAAAAGGCATTTGACAAAACTCAACATGATAAAAACACTCATGAACAAAACCTTCAACAAACTAGGAATAGAAGGGAACTTCCTCAACCTGATAAAGGGCATCTATGAAAAACCCACAGCTAACATCATCCTTAATGGTGAAACGCTAAATGTTGTCCCCTTAAGATCAGGAACAAGACAAGATGTCGGCTCTTGCTGCTTCTATTCAACATTGCACTGGAGGTTCCAGCAACAGAAATTAGGGAAGAAAAAGAAATAAAAGGCATTCACATCAGAAAGGAAGAAGTAAAACTATCTGTATTTGTACATTATGTAATGTGGTATATAGAATATCCAAAGGAATCCAATAAAAGGTTAGAACTAATAAACAAGTTCAGAAAGATTTCAGGGTACAAGATCAATATACAGTCATTTGCCGAATAATGATGTTTCAGTCAACAACAGACCGCATATACAACAGTGGTCCCATAAGATTAGTATCATATAGCCTAGGTGTGTCGCAGGCTATACCATCTAGGTTTAGGTTTACGCTCTATGATGTTTGAACAATGATGAAATCGTCTAACGACACATTTCTCAGAACATATCCCTGTCATTAAGTGATGCATTACTGTACAAAAATCAAATATATTTCTATACACTAGCAATGAATAATCCAAAAATGAAATTAAGAAAATAATTCCATTTACATTACCATCAAAAAGAATAAAATACTTAGAAATTAATTTAACAAAAGAAGTGAAAAAAACTTATACTCTGAAAACTACAAAACATTATTGAAAGAAATTAAAGATTTAATAAATGGAAAGACATTCATGTTCATAGATCAGAAGATTTAATATTAAGATGACAATACTCCCAAAATTGATCTACAGATTCAATGCAATCCCTACCAAAATCCCAGCTGGCCTCTTTTTTTTTTTTTTAGAAATTGACAAGATGATCATAATATTTTTTTCTTTTTAAAGCAACTGAATTTTTATTTATTTATTTATTTTGTGTGTGTGTGTGTGAGGAAGATCAGCCTTGAGTTAACATCCGTGCCCATCTTCCTCTACTTTATATGGGACGCCACCAGAGCAAGGCCTGACAAGCAGTGTGTCAGTGCGCGCCGGGGATCCCAACTGGCAAACCCCAGCCGCCAAAGCAGAACGTACACACTTAACCGCTTGCGCCACCGGGCTGGCCCCGTGATCATAATATTTACATGCGAATTCAAGGGACCCAGAATAGCCAACACAATTTTGAAAAAGAACAAAATTAGAAACTTACACTTCCCAATTTCATTTTAGCTGGTGTTTCTGGAATTATTTTGGCAGTTTTACTAGTTATGAATGTTATCAAATACTATATACAAAGATTTGTTTTCTGACTATATTTGTGTCACTCTTCTGTAGGAGTTTATTATTGCACATAAATAGGAAGATACTTTTCCCTCCAATAGTAAGCACACAATATATTTTTAGGTAGTTTAAAAATTTTGATACTAGATGGCAGTATTACATTATTCAAAGTCTCCTCAGGCAGCTTTTTCCTTTGAAAGTATATTTCAGTCTGTGAGCTTGAATAGCAGGAATATTCAATGCCTGTGAGTTTATTATGCTATAAAGAGAAACTGTGGGGTCTCTAGTTCATGATCCCTTGCCAGAACACTTTATAGAAACTGTAGGGGAGAAAAAAGCATTTTCTCTCTACCCTTCTGAGTTCTTGGTCGAGACCCCCTGTAATAAAAGACAGATTAACAAGAGAAAAACTGTGGACACAGATAATCAATAATTATTCTATAGTAAAGAAAAGAAGAGAGTTTTTTATTTGAGCCAAACTGAAGACGACAGCCCGGGAGTCGAAGCCCTCACAAGGGAAAAAAGTGCTCTGGGGAAGACCGATTTTCAGCATAGTTATATACCATTTCGAAACAAAGATACCTTCATCAAGCATGACGGGGGTACATTCCTTCAAGGGTTCGAGGAGATGTTCATTACAGATTAGCACATACACAGTGGGTCAACATGACGCTGGCATCATGGGAAGGGAGACTTATCTTCAGAGGGTACTGGCGTCATAAGAAGGGAGGTATTAATTCTTATCTTTAAAGAGTACATTCTTTATTTTAGGGTAATGATTAAAGCAGATGTACAATGTATGACAGGCTTTAAGTCAGGCTTCTTTGGTTCAAAAAAATTCAGGCCAAACCAGAATGGCTTCCCCATATACTTCAAAATAAAAATTTTCTCATTTCAAAACAAACATACATTTATCAACATGTATACCTTATGCATACACAGGAGATACCCAGGAAAAATGAGTCAACTCCTTCAGATGGCCCAAGCCACCACCTTAAACACCATCTTCAGCTAAAGACAAAAGAAAGATGTTGGGGTGGGGAGGGGCAGTTATGGGAGGTTGCCAGGAAAAGCACAGTAAACAGGGGTAATGTTTGCTCTACAGATTTAAGTCAGTGCCTTCTCCATTGATAAGATTTTCTTATGATTTAGAGTCATCCTTCTCTTCCTTGAACAGAGAGGAGAACATTTACAGAGGGAAACACTTTACAAATAGAGATTTCCTTTATAAATGTAAACTTCCCTTACAAAAGCGTAACTTCCACTCTGTTTTCAGAGCTTCTGCAGTGCCTGCTGTTTCTCAAAAATTATCAGCTCAAAATAATCCTTCTGCCAAAGAGGTATAATTTAGGGTGGCATATTCTGCTACCCTTCAAAACACAGACTCTCAGGACTGAAAAAGACCCAA